TTGCAGACATCTAATGCTCATTCAGTAAAGTCATTCACCCTCATTTGCCGCCCAAGCTAGACTATAATTGTCTAGACTAAAAGATATTTTTATTTGATGATCATTTTCTCCAACTTCAAGTAGGAGGCTAAGCCCAATATTAGTAGGTATTGCTTTTATATCAATAATGTCATAGAAGTGGATACATATATAAATTGTATATTTAGCCTTACATGTTTTGCTATATGGCTTCACAATGTATGCTTATTTTATTATATATAAAGTGACACCAAGACATGTTTGGCATGACAAGTTGGACCTGGTTTCTTGAAGCTACAGTGTAACTTGTTAATGTATTTCTCATTGTCTACCTACCTTATTTGTGAAATGATCAGGTACATATATTGATTTCATTGCTCAATTCTTCTTGTTTCTGGTGTAAAATATCTCTGCTGTTGTCATTACAGGCAAACTTGAAATACAATCTTCCTCATCCCAAGGGCGATGCTCCCTTTTTCATTTCTGTAGAAACAGATCCAGTTATCTGCAACCACAAATCCGAAAAGTCATTTAGCATTGCCGTCAATGTAAGGTAAGACTGAGGCCGAATTGTCACTTATCAGTCTATTATTGTTATTATTTTTGGCGTTTATACCACGTCAGCTTATAGAGCTTTACAATATTATAAAAGGGGGGAAATTTAACAATAAACGAGACAGTTACAAAATGTTACAGGAACCATAGGTTGATGAGGACCCTGCTCAAATTGGCCTACAGTCTAGGGGAGGAAGGGGCTAACAAACACAATGAGAAGGGCATCAAAGGGAATAGTGACCAAAAGGTCAGAAAGTAACAGAACTGGAAAGTGAGAATGGAATGTGGCTCTCTAAGAGAGAGAGCAAGAAACAGGTTTGTGAAATAGAAGTACACCCGCACCTATCTTACTGGCAAAATAAATCACCTTTTTCAAGGAGCTGGTGATAAAACCATCTATACATACACACCTGTACGACTGGTAAAATAAACTGCTTCATCCATGGATTTGGTGATAAAACCATTTATTCCCCACACCTGATGCTAACTCCGTATTCCCTTCTCCCCACAGCTACACTGGGAAGAGAGAGAACTCCAACATGGCTATCGTGGAAATAAAGCTGCCATCTGGATACATTCCAATAAAATCTTCAGTCAGACAGGTAACGTTAAAATAACTATTACTGGAGTGCTGACCACTGGCAACTGCAGGAAGACTCACCTTTAAATACAGCTGTTAAAACAGTGACTTACAAAGGTGTAAGAGTCAATACAGAGCAAGTACAGAGGTCTAGCCCACACTGTAACCCCACATCCTTAAAGTGCAGTTTATGTGTTCAGCCTCTAAAACGCTTGAAGATGGGAGATGAGCTGTAACACCCATCACTCTCAGTAAGGCTTTGTAATGGTAGACACAGAGCACAGTAGATGAGAATGGTTACTGTTACTTGTTAACATGCTACTCCTAAACACTCCGTTAGCATAAGTACCACATAACTCAATCACTGCCTATAATATACTCAATTGTGACATTAGAACATTGTAGAATATTGCATATTCTATGTTTCTATTGATTATATATGGATGTGTGGATTGACATAAGTAACAGATGGTCTAAGTCACAAGGCTTTCTTTGTCCGAGAGATCTGGAATGTGGATGTGGGGGTCTTGTCCTTATATGGCTAGAGTTAAATGCTGACGTTAGTATTAGCACATCTTTATAGTAACAGAGGGACACGAGGTCACTCTCTCTTCACTTGGCTCTTGGCTCTGTACAACGATGTAACTCTCCCATCAGAAGTACAGCAATTACCATCTGCTGTTGAATGTCCATTATCCTGTAACATCCTTTATTATGTTTTATTATGTATCCGTAACAAAGAATAAACCTGAAGAAACCGTAAGTCAGATTGCGCATTACTACTTTTCAATAATATAGACATATATTATTGTGGCGAGCATTTGGCCCAAGAATATATATACAAAAGACGTATATATATCAATCAACTGAAGACAAGAAGAAATTAAGAAGATTCAACATTAACACCGTTCCAAATTAGATTTTACAAACATTGTAATAATAAACACCGCTATATGAATGCTGCTCTATTTTAACAACCAGTGATCCTACAATGCCACTCATGTTATATTTGATATATGTGTCCTGTTTGATGGCCTTGTCATTTAATTATTAGCAATTACCTTTTACAATCTCTTCTCTTCTAGTTGACCCACTATTCCCATATTAAAAGAACAGAGTCATTTCCCAATAAGGTCACTGTGTACTTTGAGTCGGTAAGTTGTGTATATTTTAAACATTCATTTATCTAAATGACTTGACTCCGTGTAAAGGATATGTCTATGTTTTACATGTAAGTCAATACATCGTCGAACTCCTGGAAGACTTGCCAAATACATAGACTGGGACAGTCTACAGATACTAGCGACGTCCTACAGCTGCATTTCACACATATCCCACACATATCCCATAAAGCTTCACATCTCGGTGATTCATATGACACGTTTACTTTTACCATCGAAACATTACAGGGTTATTCACTAAGGTAATAATTCAGAGTGAATGTCAAATCGTATGCCAGAGTAGCCAAACTGGTTGCACAGCTTAGAAAATGATTCCGGTTTGGCTATTTTGGCCTTAAATTTGAAATTCACATTTAATTCTCACTTTAGTAAATAACCCCTTTTAGTCTTTAGAAAGAGGAGAATAATAAAGGACTAAAAAATGAGCCAATCTGTCTTCGCAGGAAATGTTTCGTTTTTTTCACCAAATGATATTTACATATTGATTGGTTACATCCCAGTAAAAACAATAGTATGTGACCCTTAGGAATGAACTGTGACAGGACAAATGTTATAATAGTGTTTTTTTTGCTTGGTTGGTTGGTTTTGATGATATCTGTTCATGGTTCGCAGCTTTCCAAGAGGAATGAGCATTTTAATTTCCTGGTTGAACAGGACATTCCAGTTGGCAACCTACAGCCCTCCACTGCCAAAGTCTACGATTATTACGAAACCGGTAACTAAATGCTAGAACTTACTGTGGGCTTGATTCCTTTGTTTAAGTATGTATGAATATTTGGATTATTCATCCAATAACCTGTTTTCTTGTTCTCATTTTTAGATGAATTTGCTATAACAAAGTACAGTGCCCCCTGCAGTTCAAAAGGTAAAAGTAGTAATGCACCTACCAAATTGCAGTGTTATTTTTTTATACAGCAATATAGTTCAACCTACAACCCACAGGCCTGATGAGCCCTTCATGGGTTGTTCTGCACCCAAAACCTACAAGTCCTATCGTATTACAGTGAAAACAGAGAAGGTAGATATGGTATAAGGAAAGCTGTAGTTAAACCCACAGCAGAAATAGACAGTGATACCCTCACTCTCAATACCAAAATTGAGCTGGAGCAATACAGACTTCTAAAGCTTTTATCCAAATTAACAAAAACACTCACCCAAGTTCAGTAATTATCCAACTGAAAGCAGCCTTGGTTATCTGCAATTACTGATTTCATGGAAAAATCGGAGAATAGACAATGGATGTAAATTGAGAATCTTGGTGGCTTAGCTGTCCCTCACCAAGCACTGAAACCATGAAGGAGTTATTCTAAAGGTCTGCACCAGCTGGGGGTACAGACCAGGGACTCCACTATCGGACCATAAAAGATTCATTTTTATTTCATATTTTACCAGTTTGCCAAGCTTCAGAGAAATGTAGCAAGGGTAGATGCACAAAATGAACTCCCAAAAAATCTGTCTCACTCTCTGTGGGTCAGGCTACAATATCTCAAAATTATAGCGTCACTTCTTGGCAAGACCAACTCAGCCCTTCATCCTTCTAAGCTCAAATAAATCGAGTGCCATTATACTGGGTAGTAATTACATCTAGACCCAAGGACATACGTGAATGTTAAATAGACCTTCCCTCCATATATTTTGTGTTTAAATGCTTTATTGGTGGTTAATGGACATGTCATAAATTGTGTGTGGTAAAGGTAGGCAGGATTAGAATTTATCACAAACAACTTTTTCCCTCATCTCAAAATTGGAGCATAAGAATGTTGAAGATACCCCAAACTAGTAAATGCAGACACTTCCAAAATGTTAAATTAATCTTCCTTTATTGAAACAAATGTTAAAATTCAACGTGGCAAAATATGTTCCACACCATCAAAAAAATCAGGAAAAAAAATTAAAAGTATATTAAAAAAAAAACAGGCTCTAATTCTCTCGCCTTATGTAATTCATACTAAATAAGCAATAAGGATACTAAATAAGCACTTATTGGACGGCTGACCCTGACTTGGCATGAAGTTTAAACACGCAAACCCATTTCTAAAATTAACTCCAATTTACCTAAATAGATTTCGGCAACATACTTCCTGTAACTAACTATGGGGCATGAGGAAAACTGAAATGAACATTAACGAAATAGTAAAAGCACGAACGAATGTTGGAGCTTCTGAAAGTAAACTTTACTAATCTTACACTAATCTCTCTCCCACAGAAGATACTTCAAGCAATGTGTAAATGAACAACGCAGGAAAAAAAACTGTAGATTTCTAATTGCCAGCTAGAAGAGAATTTAGTATAATTGCTTAAAAAAATTAAAATTTTTATAATTATTAAAGTACAAAATAGCATAGCACTTGTAAAATGGTAAATGGTGAACGGTATCAGTGAGGGCAGACTGAGTAGCTTCTAGATGTCCAATATGGACTCTGGAAACCTGATGGTATTTTCCAAAACAAGTATGAAAACAAGTCCTTTGTATTTTTGGTTTTAATAAATGCTGCTATGATTTATAATATGACTCATTATTTATTGAGGAGCAATATTTCAGTAGTTAGTATTAGGGAAGAACTGGGGATCAAAACCAGTCTATCATGTAATTTCACACCACCACTTTGTCTTCCCAGCCTTGCTGTGTTGGCAGATTTACCTGGGGGATGATTTTTAACAGGTGGCTCAGACCTATATCTGAGACTGACTTTTTATATAGCGCCAAACACTTAATGGAACACTATAGTCACCAGAAAAAAAACAGCTTATTGTATTTGTTCTGGTGAGTAGAATGATTCCCTTGAGGCTTTTTGCAATAAACACTGTCTTTTGAGAGAAATTGCAGTGTAGGGGCAGCTCCACTGGCAACTATTCAGATGGCTGCTAGAGGTGCTTCCTGGGGCAGTGCTGCAAAGTGTGACTGCCATTCAGTGTCTTCACACTCCGCATGCAGACACTGAACTTTACTCATAGTGATGCATTGATTGAATTGGCTAGGACTGTGTTTAACTTGTGCTGGCTCTGCAACTGACCTGCCTCCTTGACAGTCTCAGCCAATTCTATGGGGAAGCATTGTGATTGGCTCAGACCACCACTTCTGATGATGTCAGAAGGAAGCAGGCAGTTCAGAGGCAGAAGTAGCAGCTGCAGACTTGAATACAAGTAAAATTTTTCAATATTTATGTAGGCAAGGAGTAATCATTCCTCAAACATGTTCCATTCTAGAAATATGCTGTATTGAGATAAATAATGAGTTCTGAGTTTTTAATCAGACGAACTGGATAACTGAAATAGGTATTTAACGAAGATATGAAATGTCTGTAAATCAAAATGCATTCGGCATTGACTTCCTATTTCAGTACCAAATAGCTGAACTGGAAACTTACTTTTACTAAGTCTGATAAAAATAAAAACTACCAATACCATGCAAAGCACAGTTAACCTCAATGCGCTAACTGTGACTTGAACCCAGGTCACAAGAATGGGAATCTTGCACGATACCCCTACACTACTAGCGCAAGCTTCATATGGGTAGTCTAACTGTCAAGATGCACTCTTTGAGCATTGCTCTAACACGTTCTGTTGTAAAAATATACTACACACCATTCGGGAATAAAGTCATAATAGTCATGTGGTAAAATGGTGAAAGCTTTAATTCTCCACCTCAATGCTAACCTTAAAGATAATGATCAATTGAAGATTATTTAGTGTACTAATAATCTTAATTTTAGTAATGACAGGAGGCGAATATTTGCATATCTTTCTTTACTGAAAACTCCAGCAGCATAGAAACAGTAACAACCAATCAGAGAAAAGATATGGTGCCCATAAGAGGCCCTGTCTATGACATCACTTCCTCTTTCTTTGAAGCGAAACAATAAATAACAACAAAAGACATAATCATATTACGTCAACAGTTCAACAACATATTAGAATATCCAACTCCAGTAGTTCCGCGATGCAGAGGTATGGAAGGTGAATCTTTGTCTCGATGAGAAGACGTTCACGCTGCAAGAAAAGAAAAAGGTGAAAGGTCTCTGGCGTGATAACTTTTCCGCATACAATAAGCATTAAGCATCTGATATACCAACAAACATTAGAATGTGAAACATATCAATGTATATTTATTCTAAAGCAATGATATTTAAGAATCTATAAACACAACATAATGCAAGGTTCATGTCTAATATTCAACCTATCCAAGATCCACAAGATACAGGTCTAAGTAGCAAACATACAAACCATACGTACTTACCTTCCTGAACATAAAGGACATATTCTGTTCAACACGAGAAACATGGGAGGGATCCTATAGGGTGGGAAGTATTCGCCTCCTGTCATTACTAAAATTAAGATTATTAGTACACTAAAGCTAATATAATCTTCAATTTTACCACATGACAGGAGGCTTCATATTTGCATTTTTAAAGCTTTGAATTGACCAATGTGAAGGAAGCATGAGATGTTTGTTGAAATAGAATGTTCTAAACGTACTCTCTCGCGCTCAGTCCGCGCAGTGTATAATGTCGGCTAGGGAAGCGTCGGCCTAAAAGGTTTGTGAGGCCGCCGCTCCCTGACCGAGTGGGCTCCGAAACAAGGTTCGACGCCCGCTAAAGACAATAGCCAGCGGACCCATCTGGCCAGTGTTGCGGTAGACACCGGTCCATGAGGGTTCACGTGAGAAGTCAGAAGGTGACCCGTCGAATGAGTTCGAAGGGGTAGAGATATCGGTGTACCCCATTAGCGTTCTGACCACGCATAGTGTGGCGTCTGACACAAAGTATGGGTATGACACTGAAGACGGATCGGACTCGACATGGTAAAGGTAACCTGTCTGGGTGAGAGAGAAACCATCCATATCGTAAGCCCTAACGTCCGCCACCCGTCTAAATGAGGCGAGGCATAATAAGAGGGCTAGTTTGGCTGAAAGTTTTTTCAGTGACAAACAAGGATTGTCCGGCCATACACTAAGGAATCTCAGTACCACATCCACCTGCCAGAGGCGTGAATACTTGGGTGCCGGGGTCTCGACAATTCGGCACCCCGTAATAGTCAACAAACCAGTGTATCTTGACCTACTGGTCTGTCCTGTACCGGAACGTGTGCCGCCGATATGGCGGATCTGATCACGTTGAGGGGTCAATATGACCGACCCAACGAGACCAGGTGTGACAGATAGTTGAGTATCAGTAGGACAGGTGCGGTAAAGGGATCAGAATCCCTTTCCACACACCTATCACTCCAGGCCGACCAGGCAGAAATATAGCCTTTCCTGGTGCCTGGAGCCTATGAGTCCCATAGGAGGTCTTAGTTGATGCAATAGGTCGTGAACCGACCAGGAGCCCCTGAAATCGTCCAGGCAACTAGTGCAAGTTGTCCTTCCATGACGAGGGAGTGGGCTTTCCCTCGAGGTCCCGTCGGAAGTAGAGGGAAGGTAGGGAGTAGTAGAGGGTCTTCGCGAGACATCTCCAGGCGATCCGGGAAACCACGGTTGGCCCTGTCCGAGGGGTGTCATGAGCAGGAGCGATATCTTGTGGGTGCGTGTGTATCGAAGCACCCTTGCTATTGTTGAGAACGGCTGGGTCACGTCTGTAGGGGTTCATCCATCGCCTCGTATCCGAAGGAAGAGTCAAAGATCGTTTTGCCAATCCAAGTTTGTATGTGAAGTAATCACCTTCGAAATTCCATCCTCTCTTCTGCTGACAGTGGTATCCAGTGGTCGTATGAGTGACCGGTGCGTACGTATCTCGTCGTTGAATGGCCCTGTAGTTTAGTGGGCCAGGGAATATCGCTTGTATGGAGGAGGAGAGGAATCCCACAATCCGGCGAGTATCCTGAGAGGAATCGCATCCAACCTTAGAGCGTGTCCGACAGCTATCCTTATAGAGGCGCTCTTTGCCGTGGATCGACGCAGAACGTAGTTCTCCAAGCCGATGTCAAAACCGAGGAACTAGCCCGATTCAGATGGAGAAGCGATCTTTGTCTGTGTACTACAAAAAACCCATGGAGTCCCGAAAGTGAACGACAAATTGTCTGCAAACGTAGCCTGGATTCGTAAAGAGTCAGCAAGTCTTCAGGGTATACGAGGCATCGCACGCCCAAATTTACGGATGTGTGCCCTCACTGGTTTCAGTAGCTTTGCGAGCACCACGGAGTCGTAAAACTGCCATGTTTGTCCTCACCATTGGAATCGGAGGAAGCTTCGGCAGTCCAGGGCAACGGGTACTGACAAGCGTGCGTCCTTGAGGTCCAGATGTGTAAACCAGTCGTTACCGCTTAGGAGGTCCTGTAGAAGACGAATTTCCTCCAACTTGAAGCATTTGTATACCACGTAGGAGTTCCATTGACGTAGTCTCCTGGCTTCTTCTTGACCAGGAAAATTTTTTGCTGAGGAAGCCTTCCCCTCCGGTGCATGTTGAATTGCGCCCTTCTTGAAGAGGGTGTGGATTTCCTTGTCCACGAGATGTTCTGCCAGCGTGCGCAATGGAGGTGAAGGGGCGACCTGAACGGCTGTGATAAAAAACTATATGACATAGTCTTGTACTGTCTGGAGAACCCAGGTGACTTTGGTAGTCGTCTCCCAAAACTGTAAAATAGAGACAGGTTGCCGGTCATAAAATTGGAAACAGTTAGTTATGTAGGTTGACTCACTAGTAGATGAAGTGGAAGGGGTCCTTTGTGTAGTAGATGGGAGAAATATGAGGACTGTGTATACGATCTGGACCCTGTCGCCCAGAAGCGGCTGGTGGCTCGGTTCCGTTACCGACCAGCCCTCCCAAAAACACCTTTCCCCGTAGGGGTGTGGAAGACTTGTTTTAGCGAGGTCTGGGTTTAACCCCTTAAGGACACATGACATGTGTGACATGTCAGGATTCCCTTTTATTCCAGAAGTTTGGTCCTTAAGGGGTTAATTTAGTGTGTGAATTAATACACGTGTTTCTTGAGTACTGCAATGAACACTACGTCGAATAGTAGGCCTTGTGCTTTTGGGCCGAATTCTTGTCGTTCCTAAGTCCAATAGTGTGTTGTCGATGCGGACCATTACAGATTTGCGTCTGTCAGCGCATAGTGTGTCATTTGCATTGCCCAGGAGGCATATCGAGCATCGAGACCATTCTCTGGAGGTGGTAGGGTTGAGTTGTGTACCCCGGTTGAGTTCCAGATCCGCAAAATAGAGTATCTTGCAATCAAGCCTGGTAGGTCAAGTACTTTATCGTGTGTCGACCTCAGGCCATACTCCTCACCATTGCGGGGTTTCGTCCCGAGCGTGCAATGAAGACTACCACAGTGTTGTTGAGCTCGGACACAACTGCCACTTTGTCTGGTAGCAGTGGTCTGGGGTATTTGGTCTGGAGGCGTGCGCATACTTCCATCCCCAGAGGGTTGCGCAGCCAATAGTGTTCGTCCAGGAACGTTCCGTCTTCGGCTACTCTGGTTTAGTGCCACTACTGCTATCTCTGCCTCAGCCGCCGTCACAGAGTAAGGTTTCCCTAATGTACTTCGAGGAAGTGTGGGGTAGGTCTTGCCGTTCCACTTCCTCAGACGGTGAGCTGTCTTCGTGTCGCTCATCTACCATGTCCAAAGTACGTGGTGGGTAATAGCCTTCTTTGTCGGAAGATTGTGGCGGACGGGGTTTGGATTCCCGGTGGTCCACCTATTTGGTCTGTTCGATGGGCGTCTTGCCCTTGACCTTAGTGGCATGGGGGCTGGAGCCCTTCCCTTGCCATTTTGACTTGAAGGCTTGTGGGCCTGAGGTCTCCATCAAGCGGTGTGGGGAAGAGCTCATAACAGAACCTTCTCCACTGAGGCCGCTACTGCAGCGTTTATCATTTCCTAGAAATCTTGGGTAGATATTTAGTTACAAAGTGAAGGTAAAGTAAAAATATATAAATACATCAGAGAGGTAATAATACTCTGACCTGTTGTAGGCTGGTGCTGCAAAGAAAGAGGAAGTGATGTCATAGACAGGGCCTCTTATGGGCACCATATCTTTTCTCTGATTGGCTGTTACTGTTTCCATGCTGCTGGGGTTTTCAGTAAAGAAAGATATGCAAATATGAAGCCTCCTGTCATGTGGTAAAATTCTAAACACCTGCTATGAAGCCACAATGGGCAAATGACTTTATAGAAGATGTCATCCTGGCACTGGTAAGTTGAGAATAAAGACTGAATGATTGAAATCTGTATTAAGGATAGATAAAAGTGGAATGGGGAAAATTGCTCCATAAGAACTGTTGACTTCAACTTGGGAAAAAAAATAAAACTCATCAGAAATGTAATCAATCAAAGCACAATATAATCACGGTTTCTAAATTATAGCTAAATCACATATGCAGTTTAAGAATAAAAACTGGCATTGACACACAATGCGCTAGCTGGGACTCGAACCCAGGTCGCAAGAATGGGAATCTTGCATGATACCCCTACACTACTAGCGCAAGCTGCATGGAGTAGTCTAACTGTCAAGATGCACTCTTTGAGCATTGCTTTAACACATTCTGTTGTAAAAATATACTACACACCATTCGGGAATAAAGTCATAATAGTCATGTGATAAAAGGGTGAAAACCTTAATTCTCCACCTCAATGCTTACCTCATCATTTGGGTCTAATGCCTAGACGATGAATTTTTCTGCCCATTAAAAATTGATAATTTTCCTATTTTAAATGTAAAAGGATGGAACTTTAAGAACGAAAAGCAAAAAATATGTTTATCTTGAGTCTGGCGCCTTAGACCGCTCGGCCATCCTGACACTGTGTGTAACTTGCTAGGCAGGAAAAGTCTCCTTACTATTACGCACTTTTATTGAAATTGAGTGAGAGGTGATATTCTACCGTTATCGAAGATCTGAGATCCAGGCGTTCTACCAGTTGTTAGCATCACGTGGGGGTTCCATGGTGTAATGGTTAGCACTCTGGACTTTGAATCCAGCCATCTGAGTTCAAATCTCAGTGAGACCTACATACTTCTTTTAAAAAAAAAAAAATTCACATCAAGAGAAAGCAACATTCAATAAAAAATTCTTTCTTAAAATCCAATTTAAGCATATATAATCTGCCAATGCCAAATTGGAGTCAGCCCTCTCGACATTATATACCAAACACATCTTTCTTCAATTGGCATCTGCTAGGTTTCATTTCTTTCAAGCATTTATGCATACCTAGAAATGCTTCATTTCTTAACCATGGGTATGGACCAGGCCAACATAAAACATTTGGTATCCTTGCCTAGGTGATGCATTCTTCTGCCTATTATAAAGTGATTAGTTTCCTATTTTAAATGGAAAAGGATGGATCATTCCTGGTCAGAATCGTTAATCCACAATGAAGAGCATCACATTAAGACAATGTTAGTCTAGGGCACAGAGAATGACTTCAAAGAAGGATACATGCCGTAGGTTTAACAACCAGCGAATAATGACACCCCAAAAGAACAGAATCCAGAAAATAATCTTTGAAATTTCATCATCAGAAGCATTCAGACTTAAAGATAATGATCAATTCTAAACACCTGCTATGAAGCCACAATGGGCAAATGACTTTATAGAAGGTGTCATCCTGGCACTGGTAAGTTGAGAATAAAGACTGAATGATTGAAATCTGTATTAAGGATAGATAAAAGTGCAATGGGGAAAATTGCTCCATAAGAACTGTTGACTTCAACTTGGTAAAAAAAATAAAACTGTTACATCAGAAATGTAATCAATCAAAGCACAATATAATCACGGTTTCTAAATTATAGCTAAATCACATATGCAGTTTAAGAATAAAAACTGGCGTTGAAACACAATGCGCTAGCTGGGACTCGAACCCAGGTCGCAAGAATGGGAATCTTGCATGACACCCCTACACTACTAGCGCAATCTGCATAGAGTAGTCTAACTGTCAAGATGCACTCTTTGAGCATTGCTCTAACACGTTCTGTTGTAAAAATATACTACACACCATTCGGGAATAAAGTCATAATAGTCATGTGATAAAAGGGTGAAAACCTTAATTCTCCACCTCAATGCTTACCTCATCATTTGGGTCTAATGCCTAGACGATGAATTTTTCTGCCCATTAAAAAGTGATAATTTTCCTATTTTAAATGTAAAAGGATGGAACTTTAAGAATGAAAAGCAAAAAAATATGAAAAAGCTGTCAGAAGTGGGATTTGAACCCACGCCTCCATGTGGAGACCAGAACACCCATATTGTGGAAGAAGTTGATCTTGAGTCTGGCGCCTTAGACCGCTCGGCCATCCTGACACTGTGTGTAATGTGCTAGGCAGGAAAAGTCTGCTACTTGTGCAAAGTCTACATTTTCCTTACTATTACCCACTTTTATTGAAATTGAGTGAGAGGTGATATTCTACCGTTATCGAAGATCTGAGATCCAGGCGTTCTACCAGTTGGTGGCATCACGTGGAGGTTCCATGGTGTAATGGTTAGCACTCTGGACTCTGAATCCAGCGATCCGAGTTCAAATCTCGGTGAGATCTACATGCTTCTTTTAAAAAAAAAAAAAAATTCACATCAAGAGAAAGCAACATTCAATAAAAAATTATTTCTTAAAATCCAATTTAAGCATATATAATCTGCCAATGCCAAATTGGAGTCAGCCCTCTCGACATTATATACCAAACACATCTTTCTTCAATTGGCATCTGCTAGGTTTCATTTCTTTCAAGCATTTATGCATACCTAGAAATGCTTCATTTCTTAACCATGGGTATGGACCAGGCCAACATAAAACATTTGGTATCCTTGCCTAGGTGATGCATTCTTCTGCCTATTATAAAGTGATTAGTTTCCTATTTTAAATGGAAAAGGATGGATCATTCCTGGTCAGAATCGTTAATCCACAATGAAGAGCATCACATTAAGACAATGTTAGTCTAGGGCACAGAGAATGACTTCAAAGAAGGATACATGCCGTTAGGGTTTAACAACCAGCGAATAATGACACCCCAAAAGAACAGAATCCAGAAAATAATCTTTGAAATTTCATCATCAGAAGCATTCAGACTTAAAGATAATGATCAATTCTAAACACCTGCTATGAAGCCACAATGGGCAAATGACTTTATAGAAGGTGTCATCCTGGCACTGGTAAGTTGAGAATAAAGACTGAATGATTGAAATCTGTATTAAGGATAGATAAAAGTGCAATGGGGAAAATTGCTCCATAAGAACTGTTGACTTCAACTTGGTAAAAAAAATAAAACTGTAACATCAGAAATGTAATCAATCAAAGCACAATATAATCACGGTTTCTAAATTATAGCTAAATCACATATGCAGTTTAAGAATAAAAAGTGGCGTTGACACACAATGCGCTAGCTGGGACTCGAACCCAGGTCGCAAGAATGGGAATCTTGCATGATACCCCTACACTACTGCATAGAGTAGTCTAACTGTCAAGATGCACTCTTTGAGCATTGCTCTAACACGTTCTGTTGTAAAAATATACTACACACCATTCGGGAATAAAGTCATAATAGTCATGTGATAAAAAGGTGAAAACCTTAATTCTCCACCTCAATGCTTACCTCATCATTTGGGTCTAATGCCTAGACGATGAATTTTTCTGCCCATTAAAAAGTGATAATTTTCCTATTTTAAATGTAAAAGGATGGAACTTTAAGAATGAAAAGCAAAAAATATGAAAAAGCTGTCAGAAGTGGGATTTGAACCCACGCCTCCACGTGGAGACCAGAACACCCATATATTAGTAGGAAGAGTTGATCTTGGGGTCTAGGCGCCTTAGACAGCTCAGCCATCCCTGACACTGTGAGTAGCCAATGTGCTAGGCAGGGAAAAAGTCTGCTTCACTTGTACTTGAAGTCACCGCATTTTCCTTACTATTACCCACTTTATTGAAATTGGTGGGGAAGGTGATATTCTACCGTTATCCCGAAGATCTGAGAGATCCAAGAGCGTTCTGCCAGTTGGTGGCATCGCGTGGAGGTTCCATGGTGTAGAAAGTAAGTTAGCACTCTGGACTCCTGAGATCAATGATCCAGTTCAAATCTTTCGGTGGGACCTACATGCTTCTTTTAAAAAAAAAAATTCACATCAAGAAAAAGCAACATTCAATAAAAAATTATTTCTTAAAATCCAATTTAAGCATATATAATCTGCCAATGACCAATTGGAGTCAGCCCTCTCGACATTATATACCAAACACATCTTTCTTCAATTGGCATCTGCTAGGTTTCATTTCTTTCAAGCATTTATGCATACCTAGAAATGCTTCATTTCTTAACCATGGGTATGGACCAGGCCAACATAAAACATTTGGTATCCTTGCCTAGGTGATATTATTCTGCCTATAATAAAGTGATTAGTTTCCTATTTTAAATAGAAAAGAATGGATCATTCCTGGTCAGAATCGTTAATCCACAATAGAAGGAACATCACATTCAAGACAAGTATTAACTAGTCTAGGGGCACAGAGAATGACTTCAAAAGAAGGATACATGCCGTGGGTTTACAACAACCAATGAATAGCCAACCCCAAAGAGACAAAGTCAGAGAAATAATCTTTGAAATTTCATCATCCAAACATTCCAGACTTAAAGATAATGATCAATTCTAAACACCTGCTATGAAGCCACAATGAGCAAATGACTTTATAGAAGGTGTCATCCTGGCACTGGTAAGTTGAGAATAAAGACTGAATGATTGAAATCTGTATTAAGGATAGATAAAAGTGCAATGGGGAAAATTGCTCCATAAGAACTGTTGACTTCAACTTGGTAAAAAAATAAAACTGTTACATCAGAAATGTAATCAATCAAAGCACAATATAATCACGGTTTCTAAATTATAGCTAAATCACATATGCAGTTTAAGAATAAAAAGTGGCGTTGACACACAATGCGCTAGCTGGGACTCGAACCCAGGTCGCAAGAATGGGAATCTTGCATGAAAACCCTACACTACTAGCGCAAGCTGCATAGAGTAGTCTAACTGTCAAGATGCACTCTTTGAGCATTGCTCTAACACGTTCTGTTGTAAAAATATACTACACACCATTCGGGAATAAAGTCATAATAGTCATATGATAAAAGGGTGAAAACCTTAATTCTCCACCTCAATGCTTACCTCATCATTTGGGTCTAATGCCTAGACGATGAATTTTT